GGGAATGATGGAGTGTGTGTGTGTGTGTGTGTGGGGTGACTGGGAAAGGGTCTGCTGGACTGTCTCTGGGAACTGGGGGTCCCTTTTGCTTCTCTGCAGAGAGAAGTGGAGTAGCCTGCCTCCCAGGGAAAGGGCTGCTGACCTGCAGGAAAAGGCCACTGGGTGAGCTGTGAGATTGTGCGGGAAAGCTTGGGGTGCTATGAGAAAACAAGGTAGAACAAAGTCTAGAAGGTGGAGGTGGGGGGAAAGACTCAATCCTTTCCCAGTGGTGTCCATAACAGACATGATTTCAGGATGAGGTAACGAATTGGAAGGCTATTGGGATGGGAACCAAGGAAAGCATAGGGAGAGGCAAAGACTAGAGCAATTTCCCGGGGAAGCTCAGCTCGGGGTTGCACTTGCTCCCCAAAGGCGTGGGGGTTATGGTTGACCCAGAGAAGATCTCCTGACCCTCTTCCCAGGGTCTTGGGACAGAGAGGAGGCCCTCAGCATTTTCTGTTCTGCTGATCTGCACTCCCTGCCTGCCCTGAGGTTCTAGCACAGGCTCAAAGCATCCCCTCCATTTCTGGCTGTCCAGGCAGCTTCAAATCAGAACAACCCTTACACTCTGCTCCAAGTTCCCCTGCCAACAGGATTCCTGGGGTGGAGGCCTCAGCCAGGGGTGGGGCCTGGCTGTGCGTGTGTGTTCAGATCCCCCAGTCCTCCTCCAGCAGGGAGTGAGACTACAAAGGCAGCCTCGCCCTCAGTCCAGCCTCTGTCTGCATCAGCAGCAAACAGCTTCCCTTGCACCTCAGGAGGAAGTGTCAATGAGGAAAGCGGTGGGGAAGGGTTGTGCCTGCCTGTGGTTTTAACAGTTTGCTCTTTTTAGCTTTCGGGAATTGAGGAGCTTACAGGAGGAACACGTCTTCGTGAGGGTAGGACAGTTAAGGCTAATAAAGAATGCCTGTATGTTTTTACCAGTCAATGAACAGAAAGCGCCAGTGCAAGCATTTCTAAAGCCAAGACCCTTTACAGGAATGCAGCTGTCAGGATGGTGACAAGCCGTCTGCCCCACAGGTCAAGGCTAGCGTTGGGGGCTACAGAAACAAGAAAGTTCAGGGTCACCTCTCCCATTGGCTGAGGCCCCCTAAGGAGGACCCAGCCTGTCCACAGCCCCTATTTTGCACCCAGGTCCAAAACAAAGCTCCTCCCCGTTTTGTTTCCCAGGGAGGGAAGAAAGGCAATAAAGCTCCAGGTAGTAGCGTGGCCCTGATTGAGGTGAGGAAAGGCCATAGTCCTGCTTGAATTCAGGCTCCACACATCTGCAGCTTTCTCCCCCGGAGCAGTAGAGAAGGGTTTTCTTGTCAAGCACCATCTCTGGATGACAGTGCAGGCCCCATCTTCGTTTCCCCTGCCACCCTCTCACATCCTTGCCCTTTTCTGTGGCACAATCTATGGGCCGAAGAGGAGAGAGACTCTGGAGGCCTCCACCCAGAAACTGGAGCCAGGCCAGGAAAGAAGAATGGAGTAACCATAAATGTCTGCTCAGCACCTACTATGTGCACAGCCAATATCAGCACTGAAATAACAAGGCAGCAGGGAATGCAAAGAAGGAAGAATAACCAACGTCCCTGCTCACAAGGAGCGGCGTTTGAAGAGGGGAGATGAGTAGAAAAAGCTGCTACCCATGAGTAAGGGTGACACAGAAAAAGCGCTCGATGGGAGGGGCAGTCCTTGCACATGGGGACTGTGGGAGGGAGGGGCTTGGTTAGCCACCGATTTTGTTTTGCTGTGGACATTTTGAGGGAGGAGACTGGAACCACGTATTGAGAGGGCTGAGGAGAATATTGGGGAGAAAGAAAACGTATCTGGTGGCTTTCGGAGAGAGAAAAGTTTGGAAAAACAGAGATGTTTAAATAGGACTTACGGGAAATTTTGTCCCGCTGACACTATGGTAAGCTCTCCTCAACTTCCCACAAAACCTTCCCATAGAACCTACCTATCAATTGTTTTGGAGATGAATTAATATTGGGGCCCTAACAATGGATTGAGGCCAGCTCAGAGGGCCAGAGCTGGGGGTAGGCCAACGGGGTTCAGACACTCCTGGGTTACAGGAAGTGGGGTCTGAGTTCTCAGAAGGGGCGGCTGCTGAGGGGCTGCATTATCTGGGAAGGGAATGCTTTGCTGGGTCTGGAACGATGGTTAGGAGAGAAGGGGGAAGACTCTGAGGGTAGAGGGACTCTGATAAGAAAAAACTTTAAGATGAAGTGAAGCTGTGCTAAAAAGCCTCAAGTCCTAGACAAGTGAAAGGATTTATTCAGGTGGGAGTGGATAGGATATAGGTCACTGATTCTAATCTCTTCCAGCTGGTGTATCAATGAATTTGACCTACTTCACAAAAGATCTGGGTAGATTATTTATCATTTCTCACTTAGGCTGATAAATTGCCACCAATGGAGCTTCTGCTTCCTCTCTCTCTCTCCCTCCAACGTGGCTTTCACCTACAGTGACCGTAAAATAATCCTTTAAAAGTCTTATTTAAAGCCCTTCAATGACCCTTCATCACCCGCCCACCAGAATTCGTCTAACTCCTGAGCAGGGCATGAAGCACCATGTAATCAGACTCCGTCCATCGTTCCAGCTTCATCCACGGTCACTTCCCCCTCCCCCACACGCTCATCGCACCAAACTGCACACAGTTCCTCTAATACAACTTGCTTTTTCACACCCCAGACACTTTGCATATGCTTCTCCCCCTTTGCCTGGAGTACTTTCCCAGCTCAACTGCCAACACCCCGGAAGTCTTCTGTGGCCCTCTCTTCCCATTACTATATTCTCACAGTACCGTGTGTATAGCACATTTCCACATGGTATCATTTCCACGATTATTATCTAATGTGTCTGTGACTAATAGAAGGACAGGACCAAATTCTTTGTAGCCCAGCACTTAGCACAGGGCCTCAGGTCATTGCTGGCATTCAGAAAATGTTCATTGAATGACAATTTGCATCTCAAAAGGGCCCACATAGAAGGCACCATGTGGGGAGTCTGCCTAGCTGACAAAGACCCCCTTTTCTTTGAGAGTTGACCCCAGACACCATCTGGACCACAGGTGGACATCTGACCTGAGCTAGGCCAGAAGTATGCCCTCTCAGAAAAATGGAATTGACTCCACGAGAAGCAAATTTGTTTCTGGAACTACAATATGTAAACTTGGGAATGTAAACTTTGTAGGCTATGCATACTCCACATGGAAACTGGATAGTAGAGAAGGTCACTTCTTCTAAAGAAAGAAGATGAAGTGGCCAGATGATTTCAAATAGATTCTGATTCCCAAGTCCAGCCCTCTCCTGAGACCATGACAGAGTTCTGTTCTTAGGTTCTGGGAGACACCCCCGTTTACTAGTAACCTGTCTCCTACTTTGTGTGTGAGCTTCACAAGATTTCTGTTCCTTACACATTCCTGACCACACAAAGCAACCTTGGTTGGCCCTTGGCAGAGTTTTTTTCTTCAAAAAACTTTTATTTTAATACATAAGTCACACTGGAATGTAGATTAGACTTTAAATCACCATACCCATGCAGAACTGACTACATAACTTACAGGGCTCAATGCAAAATGAAAATGTGGTATCCTTTGTTCAAAAGTTAAAGTTACTAAAACATAAAGTTTTTTCCTTTTTTTCTGCAGTCTCTCTTTTTGACTTGTCATGGTGTTTATTTGCTATTTAATGTCTAAGTAAATAAAAACTAAAATTTTAAACCATTAGCATGAATTTTATCATTTATCTCTATATTGTGCAATACCCATATGTTGAATCACTGAAATTACAGTGTGTATTTCTTGGGTTCTCTTGGAAGACTCATCAAGCTGGCTGGAAGAGATGATCCTAAGTCCCCCCAGACACTGAGCTGTCTGATGGAGGACACTGTCAGGCATGGGGATACTTTACAGGGCAAGTACAGACCCTCTTAAGCCCCTGACGTTCCCGCCCAGAGACTCAGGCCCAGCAAGCTAGACAACTACTGCATCGTTCTTTCCAACAGCCCCCAGGTCTGGGTGCTATGCCCTGGCTGGGGTCAGGAAAGTGCAGTAGGCTAGCTGATCCATCCCACAGCAAACAGGTGAACCCCAGAGTCTTTAAACCTCTACACCAGGATGTGCTCAGCATCTGGCAGGCGAGAGACTCACCCTCATTGAGTCACCTGATGAATGTGCCATGGAGCTGAGCTGCCTGCTAGGGATGAAGATGGCCACTATTATGCCCATTCATAAGACTTTGCAGAACATCACCCTACCCTCCCTGCCTGCACATCAGGCCATCACCAGGGGCAGAGGGCAGCAGTGTTCACTGGGTGAGGGAGGGGAGGGCTGGGTCTCGGAGGCACCAGGAAGCTGGGCAGTGGATGGCTAAGAACCCATCCCAGGGGGGTGGGTAGACTTTGAGAGCTGGCACCACGCATGAGCCAAGGCTCTAAGCTCCTGGCACATGCTCCAAAGTCCCATGGGGCTTCATTTACAAAACACATACACATTCAAAGATAAAATTAAGAATTTCAAGGCAGTAGCTACAGATCATTAAATACCAAGCACCAAGTTTTTCTGAGCTGAGAGCCCTGTGTGACTGCCCTGGTTACATATGCCCATGAAGTTGGCCCTGTACACACAACGAAGATTTCTAAACCTCATTAAATAATATAAGTACAGGAAGTTGAAACAAAAAAAGGAAAACACACTTCATGTACATATTAAAGAAACTTGGGGCATTCAGACCCAGAAGCCAAGGATACCATTCACATCTCAACTGGAGATGAGCTACAGAGTAGATGTCTTTATTCCATTCCATCTAGACTGCAGAACTGACCAGAAGCTGTGGTATTGTGGATGAGCTGAAATTAGATTTCTAAGCATTTAGTCAGACTTTATTCCAAAGTATAATGCCTTTAGTTATTCATGAAAGAAAATGGAATAATATCAGAGCAACAAAGAGGAGGAAACATAACTAGTTTCCTTTGCCTTAATAGCTTATGCTGTTATGGCTTAACATTCAACATGAGCTTCTATTCCCAGAGGCTTATACAAAAAACTTTCTGTTGGGATTGGCTCCAAATAAGGCCTTTCGTATTTCTGGCATCTTTTGCTCAGCTAAGCGATCCAGCTGACTTTCTAGGGTATTAGAAACCTTTATTCTCTGATTGCCACTGTAAACCTCCACACCTCCAGCTGCATTCACAGCCAGGTGCACCTCTCGGTCAACTTGGACTTCCACACATTTTTGGGAGACTGCCATGTATTCAGGGATGGCTTTTTGCACTGCAGCCTCCACCAGGAGGTGGTCCTGTGGCCTACAGCGGACAATCACCACCGGCTCCAGCAGTCGGAGCAGACCCTGAAGCACTAGTTTAAACAACAGCCCCTGGTAAACTCCTGAGTCTGCCATAATCATTCTGAGTCTCAGCTTTGCATCATTCATCAACTCTGAGATGAGGTCATTTCGGGCTCTCAGGATTTTCAGCCTTGCCTGATTCCTTACGGTGGACATCTGGATTTTCTTCTGCTGCTCTATCTGCTTCTCCTTTTTCTCAAAATACTCCATAACCTTCAGTCGTTGGGTTTGCACAAGGCGTCCTTTCTCGATGTAGAATTCTTCCTCAGCCTTGGCATCTATTTCTTCTGCCTTCTCATTGGCTTCCTGTGCAATGAAAGCCTTCATGTGCTTAATCTGCTTCTGCACATCAACATCATTCAGGGCCATGGCTGCTCCCAGAAAGGGAGGTGGAGGGAGAACTGGCAGACCTTCTGGTTCCTTTGCTTTAGGGCAGAGTTTCAGGAGTGTCTCTGGAGTTCCGCTTACTTAGCTGTGGAGTGCATAAAGGGAGGAAGGAGAGAGTCAGAGTCCAAAGGGAAGGACCTTGGAGAAGAGCTATCTACTGCTCACTGCACAGATGAGGAAAATAAGGCCCAGAGAGGGAAAGCAACCTGTCCAAGATGATATCTTAAAAGAGCAAAGACTTGCACCTGGGCTCCTAGAGTTCTGTCTCTACTACACTCACCACCTTCTTGTCATCAAATAATAATGAGACAATTAGGGCAGGCCTAGTCCAGAAGTTTTCCAGTGATGGCTCAATACTCAGGAAACATTACTACCGATGCCACAGAAATAAAAAGAATTATGAGAGACTACTATGAACAATTATATGTCAACAAATAGGAAAACCTAGAAGAAATGAATAAACTCCTAGAAACATACAATCTACAAAGACTGAATCATGAAGAAGTAGAAAATATGAACAGATCTATAGCTAGTAAGGAGACTGAACCAGTAATTAAAAACTATCCAACAAACAAAACCCAGTACCGGATTGCTTCATTGGAGAATTCTACCAAAAATTTAAAGAAGGATTAATGTCAATCCCTCTCAAACGCTTCCAAAAAAATTAAAGAAGATAAAACATTTCCAAATTCATTTTATGAGTCCCACATTACCTTGATATCAAAGCCAGACAAAGACACTACAAGAAAAGAAAACAATAAGACAGTATCCCTGATGAACATAGATGTGAAAATCCTCAACAAAATACTAGCAAACTGAATTCAACACTGCGTTAAAAGGATCTTACACCAGGAACATATGGGAGTTCTCCTTGGAATGCAGGGATGGTTTAACATACAAATATCAATTCATGTGATATACCACGTCAACAGAAAGGATAAAATCACATGATCATCTCAGTAGATACAGAAAAAGCATTTGAGAAAATCCAACACCATTTCATGATAAAAAGACTCAACAAACTAGGAATAAAAGGAAATTATGTCAACATAATAAAGGCCATATATGAAAAGCCCTCAGCTAATATCACACTCAACAATGAAAAACTAAAAGCTTTTCCTCTAAGATCAAGAATAAGGAAAGGATGCCCATTCTTGCCATTTTTATTTAACGTAGTATTGTAAGTCCTAGCAATAGCAAGTAGGCAGGAGGAAGAAATAAAATGTATCCAAATTGGAAAGAAAGAAGCAAAATTATCTCTATTCCCAGCTGACATGCCCTTATAGCTAGAAAACCCTAACAATGCCACACACACACAAAAAGTTAAAACTAATAAACAAATTCAGTTGCAGGATACAACATATAAAAATCAGTTGTGTTTCTATACTAACAATGAATAACCTAAAAGGGAAATTTAAAAAAACAATCCCATTTACAGTATCATCAAAAAGACCCCCAAAATACTAAGAATAAACGTAACCAAGGAAGCTAAATGCATACACACCAAAAACTACAAAATACTGCTGAAAGAAATTAAAGAAGACACAAATAAATGGAAAGACATCCCATATTAATGGAATAGAAGATAATATTGTTAAGATGTTCACACTACTCAAAACTATCTACAAATGCAATGCAACCCCTAACACAGTCCCAACGGCATTTTTTAAATAAATCGAAAAAAAAAACCTAAAATTCATATGGAATCACAAAGGACCCTGAATAGCCAAGCCAACCTTGAAAGAGAACAAAGCTGGAGGCCTCACACTCCTGACTTCAAAACATATTACAAATCTACAGTAATCAAAACAGTTTGGTACTGGAATAAAGGCAGACTTATAGACTAATGGAACAGAACAGAGAGCTCAGAAATAAGCCCACATATATATAGTAAAATGATTTTCGACAAGGGTACAAAGACTATACCATGAAGAAAGGATAGTGTCCTCAACAAATGGTGTTAGGAAAACTGAATATCTACATGCAAAAGAAAGAAATTGAACCTTTATCTTACACCATACACAAAAATCAACTCAAATGGATTAAAGACTTGAACATAAGACTTAAAATTATAAAACTCCTAGAAGAAAACATAGGGAAAACCTTTATAATATTGGTCTTGGCAATTATTTCTTGGCATGACACCAAAAGCACAGGCAACGAAAGCAAAATAGACACATGGGATTATAGCAAACTCAAAATTTGTGTGGCAAAGAAAACAATCAATATAGCAATAGGCAACCTATGGAATGGGAGAAAATATTTGCAAACCATGTATCTGATAAGGTATTAAACCAAAAAATATAAGGAACTCCTACAATTCAACAGCAAAAATGAAAAGAAAAAAAATGGTTTTTTTTAATTAGCAAAGGACTTGGATAGACATTTATCCAAAGAAGACATACAAATGCCTAAAAAGTATATGAGAAAGTGCTCAACATCACTAATTATTAGAGAGCTGCAAGTCAAAACCACAACAATATATCACCTTACATTAATTAGGATGGCCGTTATCAAAAAAAAAAAAAGCAGAAAATAAGTGTTTCTGAGAATGTGAAGAAATTGAAACACTTGTGCACTATTAGTGGGAATGTAAAATGGAGTAGCAGCTATGGAAAACAGTATGAAGGTCCCTTAAAAGTTAAAAATTGAACTACCATATGATCCAGCAATCCCACTTCTGGGTTTTTATCCACAAGAATATAAAATAGGATCTCAAAGAGGCATTTTCCTTCCATTTTCACTGCAGCATTATTCACAATAGCTAAGAGGTAGGAAAAAACCTAAGTGCCCATTGACTGTTGAATGGATAAAGAAAATGTATATACCACAATAGTATATTATTTTGGCCTTAAAATATGACAAAGAAATCCTTTCTTAAGCTACATCATAGACGAGCCTTGAGGACATTATGCTAAGTGGAATAAGCCAGTCACAGGACAAATATTGCATGATTCCACTTAAATGAGGCATCTAAAGTAGACAAATTCATAAAAACAGAAAATAGAATAGTGGTTTCCAGGGGCAAAGGGGAGAGGGAGTTAGGAAGCTGATGTTCAATGGGTATAGAGTTTCAGACATGCAAGATAAAGTTCTAGAGATCTGCTGTACAACAATATGCATATAGTTTACAATGCTAACAATACTGTACTATAACTTTCAAATTTGTTAAGGGAGTAGATTTCATGTCATGTGTTTTTTAACACAATAAAAAAATTAAAAACAAAAATAGAATGCTGTCCCAGAATGCTTGGTGGAAAAACAATTCAGTGTTTGTGACAAAAACCAAGACTTTGGGTTCAACCTTACAAGCTGTCATTGGAATTTAAAAAGAAAATTATTTAGCCCATCTATTGTCCCATTATTTTAGGATATAATTTTTTTTAACTACACTTTTTAAAATAAAGCAAAACATTCTCTGATCCTAAATAAGACAGTCAATTAAATGGTTGGTAAAACAAAACAAAACAAAACAAAAAAAACCCAGGCTCCCTGGGTGACTCTGCTGGTCACCAGCTTTGGAAGCCATTGTCAATAAAAGCAGAGAGAGGGGGTGATCCAGGGAGCCCCAGGTTATGCCTGTAGAAGAAAACTATGTACCAGATGAGCCCTTACCAGTCCCCTGCCAAGGGCCAGCCTTTGCTCTGGCGCCGGGAGTCTGCAGGCGGAATGTGGAACTTGGAACGCACACTGGAACCTGGCACTGTTACTTCCTTCTTTCTGCAGACGACCCTCGCGGTCTGCCCAGCCAGCTTGAATCCAAAGAGCCATGCTGACACTGGGGAAGGCTGGCCAAGTCTGCAAGGGGAGGCCAAGAGGGATTTCCTTGGCACACAGGCCATGCCAGGGACTACCTTTGCATGCTTGGAATCTCAATTAAGTTGACATATGGTGGACTTCAGGTCTGGGGTGGGCTCACCTCAGAGCCAAGCCTTCAGAAATGGATACGCGTGTGAACACGGGCAGCCAGTTTATTAATTTCCTAATGAAAAATACAGCTGTCGTGTTGGCAGATCTTGGCTTTCTTTCCTGTACATGAGTCGCATGGGAAGACAAATCCAAAGGCAGTTTAACGAGAAACCAGAGCAAGCAAAATGTGCCAGATGGTCTTTAAGAAGGCCACACCCACCACAGGGGCTAGCCTGCTCTTGCTGATGAGAGAGGACATCTTTTGTAGGCCCAGATGGGGCTGACACGGGCATTGCCAGCTTCCATGGGATGGGCTGTGGAGTCAGACTGCAGGAATTCAGATCCTAGTGCTG